GGGGGGGGGGGGATAATAGGTCCCAAAGTTTGGGATTGCTACAACAATTTCGATCAAAGTTCAGATATATTTAAGACCTTTTTCTCATACTTTTACTGTCTTCGGGTCGAAAGTGGGATGCTTATCATCCAAATAAAACTCTATTTAATTGGATACAAAGTTGAAGAAATAAAGAAAGATATTGTAGTTTATTAATTTGCTCTTATTAAAGTCATTTTAGTACTTATTTATTAACTTTTTTTCATAATAAAATATTAAGTGAAATATAAGGAAAAAATTTTGAGAAATTTTCTTTAAAAAATGTCACGTAAATCAATCAATCAATCAATATATATATATATATATATATATCATAAGCATGATGATGTGGCATGCCTCTTTGATCAGGAAATATATTTATTTATTTTTTGAATTTTACTTCAATTTTTAATTAAAAATATTTTAAATAAATATTAAATATGAAAGAGAAATGCGAGTGCCTTTAAAAACTTCTTGCTCAAATGTTGCCATTTATAAAATGCCACATTCCAATTAAATCTCTTACCTCTTAATTACACATCAAATTCATAAAAATTAAAACAGTTCATTTTACTCTATTATTTTTGCATTAATTTCCTATCTTTTTTCTTCTTTTTTATATAATGATAACATAATAATATACTAATATTTTTTATGTATAAAAAATCAGCCCACCTAATAGTAATATATCATGACTTTATTATTGAGTTTTAATTCTTCAATAAATTGAATAATTAATGGATAGTCACCGTCTATGTTTCTTCATCTTTCCCCTTCCTATAACTGTTTGATAAATAATTAATTAGATAATTACTATTGATATATAATTAATTAGATAATTCATAATATTTTAGTTTAGTTTAGGATTAAAATGGTAATTCAACTTTGCATTTTGGACCTTCTCACTTTTAATAATATATGATGATGATATATACATTGTTTTATCAATCATAATTTTTCAAATTCTTCCATTATGAGAATTATGATTATGATTAAAAGTAATATCAATGTGCTCATTTATCAAGAAAATAATAATTTACATTATTAAAAGGGCTTAAGGACTTAAATTCTACCATAATGTAATTAAAATATTTGTATTTAATTAAATAATTAATCAAATTTTAATTTAGTAAAAGGGCAAAATGGTAATTCAACTTTTCACTTTGGAGCTTCCCACTTATAATAATATATAATATATGATATGATGATGATAATATATGATGTGTAACGATCTCATCTAAAAACACCTCATGCGGGTCTGATTTTTTTTATGGACTAAGCATGTGAAAAATCTTTTTAATATGTATATGTCAATGAGATTCGATCTTAGTACTTGTGTTTGCTCAGATACTATGTTGAACTATGTGATTTTCAATAAATATTATATTATATTTTCTCTGATGACATGAAATTCGTCAATAGAGAAATACTAACATAAACTATAGTTTTGAAAGGGAAAAAACCAAAGGGAGATAAATCAGCTAGGATAAAATATTTGTTCAAGTTTACATAATACATCCAACAAGTCCAGTGTGTTGATATGACAAAGGGATTCAACTGAATTTCCTTGGTAAAAAAGATATATACTATACAAATAGGGTAAAACAAATACTTTTTGCTACAATATATCGAAATTGTTGAATTCCTTTGATATAATTGAAGATTCTATTGTGGAGGCAAGGGTCATATATAGTTTCAAATGTTCTTCGCGAAAAATATCACACCATGTTGAGAGATACATATTCACTGCCAAATTCGTTGTCTCCGGACAATTTTTGGTCATTCAAGTCCTTGCAATATGTATACAACACAACATTTCTGACAAGATACTGCTTCATCACCACATATCCGACTTCTAAACTCAGAAATATCTGCAACAATATCACATTTAAGAAGCTCCATTGTTCGCCCTTTGTTGTACCTATGATGACTAAATACATGGAACAACCTCCCAATGAACATCCCATCACAAGCCCGTAATGCAAACGGAGAGTCGATTGTATAGATACGTAATTCTTCTGTTCAATTTTAATTAATTTATTTTCAACAATAGTGTATGTTATGTTGATTAATAGCATAGTGTATATGTTATGATGATTAATAAAAGAAAAGGTAATGCAAACGGAGAGTCAATTGTATAGGTACGTAATTCTTCTGTCCACTTTTAATTAATTTATTTTTTGATGAGGGAGGATGAGACGATTGTATAGGTACGTAATTCTTCTGTTCAATTTTAATTAATTTATTTTTGCATGAGGGAGGATGCTTTTATGATGATATGAAAATTTTGATTAATATCAAATAGAATTTGATTAATATCTATTTGATTTTTTTCTTGTGATATGTCGTGGATATTTATAGAATATGACACCATTTGAACAAGAAGTTTTATAGGTACGTAATTCTTTTGTCCACTTTTAATTAATTTATTTTTGAATGAGGGAGGACGCTTTTATGGTGATATGAAAAATTTGATTAATATCTATTTGAATTTTTTTCTTGTGATATGTCGTGGATATTAAATGTACATAAATAGACAAGCATATAATAGTTGAAATTAGATTTTGAATAGGTAACTTATTTATAATTATGGTTATGAGTTTTGTGTTTTTTTTAATTATTTTTTTGTTATGATGAATTTTTGAGTGATAGCCATTTAATATCATCTATTTTTTCTTCTGGAATAGGAACAAATGATTCTAAACTTTTGGCTTGCTTTTGATGTCATGATAATTTGAGTGATATTGTGGTATTTTAGAATTGTTCACAAAAAAATCAACTATGAGAAAAACAATTGCAATATTTAATAGCCGTTTAGCCATGTTTTATTGTAAAAATAGAAAAAAATATTTTTATTGTCAAAGTGAAACACCATCTTATTATTTTAACAAGTAGCTAACTATAATTACTGTTATTTATGTGTTTAAAATTAATTTAACGTTAAGAATCTCAAATGTTTAAAAATATTTGTCTAAAAGAGATGCCAAATCACTTCTCCATTAATTAATTTATAGATATTGACAGTTATTTCATATATATAATATATAGATACAAATAATTATTCAAGAGTTAATCTGATATGTTGAATTTATAAGATAGAATAATGAGACATTGATATAGTAACAAAATTAATTTTTAAAAATCAAAATTATTTTTAAAAAAAGTTGAGTAAATGAAGGGATTTATTTGTCTAAAAGAGATGCCAAATCACTTCTCCATTAATTAATTTATAGATATTGACAGTTATTTCATATATATAATATATAGATACAAATAATTATTCAAGAGTTAATCTGATATGCTGAATTTATAGGATAGAATAATGAGACATTGATATTAACAAAACTAATTTTTAAAAATCAAAATTATTTTTAAAAAAAGTTGAGTAAATGAAGGGATTTATTTGATTAATGGGATGATAGATGAAATCCAGTACTTTGTAAAGTACGACTGCAACGAAGGAAGAAAAAAAAAAGAAAAAATTGAATAAGATTCAGCATTGTGTTGAGATAAATTGTGATTATACAAGTGTAAGTTAGATTAGTCCTCAGTTAGTTAGTTTTCCGTTTACTAGTTAGCTTAGCTTTCCGTTAGTTAGTTAGCTTTCCGTTAAAGTTGGTTAGTCAAGTTTTCTAGAAGATTCCCAGTTCCTATTGTATATATATACAGTGTAATCATCTAAAGCAATACAATTTTGATTTCCAAGTTTCACAAACTCCTTTCTCTGTTTTTTGCTTCGAAGCTCAGCTTCATGTTCATCAATGGAGAAATGTTCTTCATGATTTTTGCTTGATTTCGACATGGTATCAGAGCCGTAAGGCCTTCTTCTTCATCTTCTGCGATTCCTTTTTCCTTTTTCCTTTTTCCTGCGTTGTCAATTACTCATTTTTGGGAACATTATGGGATCAAATGGTGTTCAGGAAGGGACCTCTACTGGAAATCAACTACCCACTCAAGTTCCTATAGATCTGACTAGTGTGTTCTATGTTCATCCATCTGAAAGTGCTGGATCCACAATTGTTTCAGTCCTTTTCGATGGATCTGGGTATCGTTCATGGAGACGAGCTGTTCTTCGAGGACTGTCTGTAAAGAATAAAACTGGATTCATAAACGGCAAGGTGTTGAAGCCACCTCTTGATTCACCTGGTTTTTCTCAATGGGAAAGGTGTGATGATATGGTCACGTCTTGGATTTTGAATTCTCTGTCTAAGGATCTCAGGGACAGTCTGCAGTATGTTGATAATGCAAAAGAACTTTGGGATGAATTGGAGGACAGGTATGATCAACCAAATGGAGCGAAATTATATCAACTACAACGTGAACTCAATGATCTTAGTCAGGGGAATCTCGATATAACTGGGTACTACACCAGGATAAAGAAGTTGTGGGAAGAGCTTAGCACTTTGGACACCAATTCACAATGCACATGTTTGTGCACATGTGGTGGAAAGTCGAAGATGCACAAAGCTGAACTTGACAGGAGACTAATACAGTTCCTCATGGGACTAAATGAGGTATATACTATTGTGAGAGGAAGCATATTGATGATGAACCCACTACCTACTATGGCCCAAGCTTTTTCTATCCTTGTTCAGGAAGAGAGACAAAGGGAAGTCAAACCTCATAACAAACCTCATATGGACTCAAGCTCTTTTCATGTGAATGCCGCTAGCACCAGTTCTGGTTTCAGAACCAACTATACTCCTCATAAAAACAATGTGGGCACCAGCAGGCCCTCAAGCAAGTCAAATCTCTTTTGTGATTATTGTAAGAAGACTGGTCACATCAGAGAAAAGTGTTACAGGCTTCATGGTTTCCCTCCAGATTTTAAGTTCACCAAAGGTAGAAATGCAGGAACAGCAGCTAATGCAAATGGTTTTTCTGAGGATATGTTGGGAGATATTTTTGAGAAAGGTCATGATGTGGGAAAAGGCAAAGGAAAGTTGCATGAACAGTCAAATTCAATGTTAACCAAGCAGCAGTTCAACCAACTTGTGAACTTATTGGATCACATTCAAGTTCAAGGAGGCACCAATACTAGCAGCACTGCACATGAGGATGCAAGTAATTTCAATGGTGGAGCTGTCAACTTTGCAGGTATTTTGGCATGTTATTCTTCAATTTCTGATATTGGCAATCTGTCTTGCAAATGCTTAAAACTTAATGTTGATTCCTGGATTATAGACTCAGGAGCCACACACCATATGACCTTTACAAAATCCCTACTTACAAACCTCAGACCTTTACTATATCCATTCCTAATTACACTTCCAAATGGCTACAAGGTAAAAGTGACAGAAATTGGTGATGCATGTTTAAATCCATCACTGACTTTGCATAAAGTGTTATTTGTTCCTAGTTTTAAGTTCAATCTAATTTCAGTCCATTGTTTGGTTTCTCATCTTAAAGGACTGGTCAGTTTCACTAGTTCTTCTTGTTTGATGCAGGGCCCTTCACAGAAGAGCCCTCTGGAGATTGGTAGAGCACAAAATGGACTCTATTTTCTGTGCGCAAGATGTCACACTTCATGTTCTACTTCTGTTTCCACTAGATCAACTTCTGTCATTGCATCTAGTTCACCTTGTTCTGTTAATTCACCCATTGCTACTACCTTCTGCAATAATAATTCTGGTAGTTTTTCTCATCACACTTCTGTAAACACTTGTAATGACACATGTTTGAGTAATGATAATGTACTTCAAAATTGTGCTTCAAATGTTACTGCTTCTACACTAAACAACTCTATCATGTCTTGCATGTCTCATGGAAACAATGTTGATTACTTGTGGCACAATAGGCTAGGACATATACCATTTGTGAAAATGAAGGGTATTTCTAACATTCCTATACAATTTTCACCCAAACAACCCTTCACCTGTATTGTCTGCCCCATGGCTAGACAAACTAGGCTCCCATTTCCTACTAAGCCCATTATCTCTAGTAACAACCTTTTTGACCTTCTTCATATAGATTTGTGGGGACCTTATCACGTTCCCACATACAACAATTACAAGTATTTTCTAACAATAGTTGATGACTACAGTAGATCAACATGGACATACCTTTTGAGCTGCAAAAGCAACACTCTCCAAACCATGCAATCCTTCATATCTCTTGTTGAGAACCAGTTCAAAATTGCTGTCAAGTCAATAAGGACTGACAATGGTTCAGAATTCACTAACAATGAAACCAATGCTTACCTCACAGCCAAAGGCATCATACACCAAAGAACTTGTCCTTACACACCACAACAAAATGGTGTGGTGGAAAGGAAACACAAACACCTTTTAGAAGTAGCTAGATCACTACTCTATCAGTCCAAACTTCCAACCAAATACTAGGGGGAGTGTGTATTGACAGCCACCTACTTAATAAATAGAATTCCGAATTCAGCATTAAATAACAAAACTCTTTTTGAAATGCTGCACTATCATCATCCCACTTATTCCCATCTTAGGTCTTTTGGATGTCTATGTTTTCCTACATTAAAGACATATAAAGACAAATTTGATCCTAGGTCCACACCTCACATTTTTGTTGGATACCCCTGCAACACAAAAGGATATAAAGTTCTAGACCTTAGTACCACAAAAATACATGTTTCCAGGGATGTGAAATTCTATGAAAACATTTTTCCTTTTGCTTTACCTAAATCTGATTCTAGTTTTGATACTGTACTACAAACTTTACATACTGATTTGAATGTGTCCAATCCCACTAATGACATTTTTAACAAAGTACAAGTGATGGACAATGATGCCATTTTTGATGTCACTATAAATGAATTGCCTGCACATGCACCTTTCAATGAACCTTCACCACCACTAGACACCGATCATTCATTGGCTCCCACCCCTCAACCAAACACTAACCAAAACCTCCCATGTTGTTCTAATTCAAACACTACCACTACTCAACAGCCAAGCCAGCCTCTTAACCCTAGAAGATCCAGTAGACCACACCTCATTCCTGCCTACCTTAAAGAATATGACTGTACCTTACCTTCTTTCCAACATAAATCCTCAACCTCATCCTCTAACCTTGCATTCCCTACATCCAATCTGTCCCTCACCAGCTCCAACCAAGGAAATCAACAAATGGTTAAGAGTTTTTGTCATGACATTGAGCCATGTTCATATGAAGATGCATCACTTGACCCTGCCTGGCAGGCAGCAATGACATCAGAGTTTGAAGCCTTATATGCTAATAACACATGGGATCTTGTCAAACTGCCCATAGAGAAGAAAGCAATTGGGTGCAGGTGGGTATACAAGATCAAACATAAGGCTGATGGCACAATAGAAAGGTTGAAGGCAAGGCTTGTCGTGAAAGGTTACACTCAACAGGCTGGGATTGATTATAATGAGACATTTTCTCCAGTAGTTAAAATGACTACAGTCCGGATTTTGATATGTATGGCTGTCAAGAAAGGATGGAATTTGTATCAGCTGGATGTCAATAATGCATTTCTTCATGGAGACTTACATGAAGAGGTGTATATGGACACACCCCCAGGCCTCTTGACAGAAAACACAGGTTTGGTTTGTAAGCTCAAGAAATCTTTGTATGGGCTGAAACAAGCAAGTAGACAGTGGTATGATAAACTTGCACAAGTTCTGTGTTCAAGAGGTTATTCTCATTCAGAGAGTGACTACTCTCTATTTTTCAGGAAATCTGGCGTTTCTTTGGTGTTTGTTGCTGTTTATGTTGATGATATCATCTTGACAGGTACTGATGTTGAAGAGATTACTTCCTTAAAGAGTTACCTTCACAATGAGTTTAAGATCAAGGACTTGGGCAAACTTCAATATTTTCTTGGTTTGGAAATTTTATACCAGGATTCTGGAGTGTTGATCTCTCAAAGAAAATTCACTATGGACCTATTGAAAGAATTTGACTGTTCACATTATACACTTGTCCTATCACCCCTTGAGTCCACAGTCAAGCTTAAAGCCGGTGAGGGTACATTGCTGAAAGATCCCACACACTACAGAAAGTTGGTTGGGAAGCTCAATTTTTTGACTCATACCAGAATGGACATAGCTTTTAGTGTTCAGCACCTTAGTCAATTCCTTCAACATCCTAGAGAACCACATCTCCAGGCTGCATATCATGTTCTAAGATACTTAAAAGGTGATCCATGTTTGGGCATACACTTGTCTAACAATACAGACTGTTCACTCACAGCTTATTGTGACTCAGATTGGGCTGCATGCCCTGATACAAGGAAATCAGTAAGTGGTTATGTAGTACTGATGGGAGACAGTCCCATTAGCTGGAAATCTAAGAAGCAAACAACCATATCCTTGTCCTCAGCAGAGGCAGAATACAGAGCCATCAGAAGGGTGGTAGGAGAGATAGTATGGCTGGAAAGATTATTGACAGAGCTGGATTTGACATGCACCTTGCCTATAACTGTTTTTTGTGATAGCCAGGCAGCTGTTCACATAGCCAAGAATCCTGTTTTCCATGAGAGGACAAAGCATATTGAGGTGGACTGCCATTTTGTTAGAGAGAAATTTCAAGCAGGGCTCATTACACTCCATTACATTCCAACTGAGAGTCAGCTTGCTGATGTTTTAACCAAGGCCCTGCCCAGTACCAAACATTCCAGCATCTTGCGCAAGTTGGTTGTGAGTTCCTCACCTCCAACTTGAGGGGGGGTGTTGAGATAAATTGTGATTATACAAGTGTAAGTTAGATTAGTCCTCAGTTAGTTAGTTTTCCGTTTACTAGTTAGCTTAGCTTTCCGTTAGTTAGTTAGCTTTCCGTTAAAGTTGGTTAGTCAAGTTTTCTAGAAGATTCCCAGTTCCTATTGTATATATATACAGTGTAATCATCTAAAGCAATACAATTTTGATTTCCAAGTTTCACAAACTCCTTTCTCTGTTTTTTGCTTCGAAGCTCAGCTTCATGTTCATCAATGGAGAAATGTTCTTCATGATTTTTGCTTGATTTCGACACATTGTATGACCACGCAAGTAATTGATACAGTGTTTCTATATTGACACTTATATTTATTTGTTGTTTTTTTAAATTAATATATTTTTAATTATGATATTAGTTTATGGATAGTGAATTACATTTGTTCATGTTTGTAGATAGAAAAATGTACAAAACGATAGTAAATTAAAGTTGTCATCATGTTTAATATTTTCAAATTTTATTTATTTTTATACCCGCGCGAAGCGCGAATGAATTTACTAGTTAAAAAATAAAGTTAGTATATAACTTTCTGTCTGCCATTTCGATATCATTACACTTAACATCAATATAACAGTTTGTGATACTAATTAGTATAAAGAAAATCAAAATAAAATATAAGACACCAAATTCAGATAGACAAGATAGTTAGGGGACTAAAAAAAAGTAACAAATGGACATCATTGCTTACTTTAGGTAATTTATCTTAATTGACAATTATTTGCACTTTATGTCACTTCCTTTTTTATAGATATTTTCCCCTTTGAGACATTATAATTATTATTATAAAAGAATTATCAACTTGGATCATGTTGTCCTTCATTCTCTTTCTTAATCTTGGTTGATTTTAATATTAATTAATGAGAATAGGAAGGTAGGTTTATTTTTATCCAAAATATAAAAAGTAAAAATATTTTAAAATTAATTATTATATAACAAATATATACATAATAAATAATTAAATTTATATAAACAATATAAATTTCAGACAAAATTGTGTCAATTTGACATCTTCCAGACAATAATATAATAATTCGATCGTCCATATATATGGAGTTAGAAATCGACATATATGGCTGAGAGATCGAAGATATCTATTAAATATGTACTAACATCTAATATCACTATTATAAAATTCAAAAATTGTAAAATTTAAGTTACATGCATATTTTGATTTGGTCATAGTGGATATATATACTATCACTTTTTTCTCACTAATTTTTTTTTATCATATGAAAAAGATTGATGTTTTCATCATCACCTATGTCATTTAATTACAACTTGTAGCTACTTTTACACCAAAAAAAGGAATATTTTAATTTACAAGTTGTTCCATTTTCTGCATTTTAATTATGATGTTTCTCTCCACAACATCCCCATTTGATTTAGACACTGATATTTCACATACTTTTGAGATTTTTAAAAAGAAAATATAAAGGTTTGCAAATACTTATAATTTAATTCTTGCATTTTGAAACGTTCAAGAAAGTTCTCGTCTCAACTAATTAGTTATACCATTTTTTTTTACCAGAATGTGATCGAATGAATAAAATCTTTTTGTTCTTAATCAGAAATTTCAAGTTCGAATCTTGAAAATGAAGAAACTCTTGACAAAGAGTATTTTCTCATCTATATTCCTATACTACACGTAACTAAATTTAATCGGACAATTAAATTTCGAATATCAGATTATTATAAAAAGTAAGTCATAGCCTTTCTACCATATGATCAATACATTGATTAACTTCACCCATGTCACAATTATATCTACTCAGACAAAAAAAATTTATATATATATAAAAGCAATTATTTGAAATTCAT